CATTACTAGGTATTTATCCAAAGGATACAAACATAGTGTTTTGAAGGAGAACATGCACTCTAATGTTTATAGCAGCAGTGTCCACAATAGCCAAACTATGGAAAGAGCCCAAAGGTCCATCAACAGATGAATGGATAAAAAAGAGGTGGTGTGTACACACACACACACACACACACACACACACTGGACTATTACTCAGCCATCAAAAAGAATGAAATCTTGCCATTTGCAATGATGTGGATGGAACTAGAGGGTATTATGCTAAGTGAAGTCGGTCAGAAAAAGACAAATACCATATGATTTTACTCATGTGTGGAATTTAAGAAACAGATGAACATAGGGGAAGGGAAGGAAAAATAAAATAAGATGAAAACAGGGAGGCAAACCATAAGAAACTCTTAACTATAGGGAACAAATGGAGGATTGCTGGAGGGGAGGTGGGTGGGGGATGGGGTAAGTGGGTGATGGGCATTAAGGAGGGCACTTGTGATGAGTACTGGGTATTATATGTAAGTGATGAATCATTAAATTCTACCTGAAACTAATAATATAGTTAGTATATGTTAAATTGAATTTTTAAAAAAATTTTTTAAAAAGCCAAAATAAAAAAAAAAAGGGAGAGATATACCCAAGAGTGCTATATATTTGGGACGCCTGGGTGGCTCAGTCGGTTAAGTGTCTGCCTTCAGCTCAGGTCGTGATCCCAGGGTCCTGGGATGGAGCCCCGCGTTGGGCTCCGTGCTCAGTGGGGAGTCTGCTCCTCCCTCCCCCTGCTCAGGTATGCACTCTCTCTCTCTCTCTCTCTCAGCTTCTCTCTCTCTCTGCTTCTCACTTGTCTGCTTCTCAAATAAATAAAATCTTTAAAAAAATTTTTTTTAAAAGTGCTATATATTTTAGGGAAAGTGGGAGAAAGCATGTTTCTTTGTGGAAATAAAAGAATATTCCAACATATTTAAGGGGCTAAAATGTGTCTGTGTCAAAATTATCACGGCTATTTCACTTACTCACCTCACATCATGGAATGAATCATTTTTCCCTTTGTGATTCAATAAATTCATGAATTTCCCCCCAAAATGGATTCCAGTGAAAACATAGGGAATATCTTAGCGTTTCAAAAAAGAATGCAAGTAGGCCGAGGGACTGGCACAGATTCCAGTGGGCAGACTGGCACGGGCTGTGCTGCATGTTAGCTTTTCTTACCTCTGTCCACACTGTCCCCAGCTCAGCTTTAGGTTTTTCCATTTAATCAAGGTCTTGGGATGCACCTTCATCTGAAATAAGCATCTCTTCTGACAGTCTTACAGTTGCCTTCTTCGTAACAGCCTGAGCTCTGTTGAGCTGTGGCCGAGAATCTTCGTACCCTGATCTGTACGGTGGCCCCAGGCCTGTGCTAGAGCAGTACCTCGAGTGGTGCTGTCTCCCCTCTTCTTCCTAACCGACTAACTTACATCTCTAGTCGGCCAACTGCACATTGATAGTGGCCAACATCTTTAAACTGACACATCCTAGCAGCCTTTGAATTTGATCTCACGATCAAGGAACTCTGACTTAACATGCTTCTCACCTGCACATAAGCCCTTTTGTGGGCATAGAAGCTAAATCATGTGGTTCCCTCTGTGTTAGGCATACAGGTTCGTTGCTTTACCTTTAGATCTGTGATAGTCACAGGCTTTGAGAATCTTGGCTGGCTCTTCTCAACCCTTTGTGCTTGCCTGCATCGTGACGTAGGCACCTGCCGCATTTCTTCAGTTTCGGCTGGAAAGGTCATCTTGCTACACTGGCCAGAAAGGCTACACTGGCCAGAAAGACTACACTGCTCCCATCTGGTGGCAGTTCTCTCAGATTGCTGCATCGTCAGCCTGCTTCTGCAAGGACTGCCCTGTCCTTCAGTGGTTCCATGCATCACAGAACTGTAGAAGTGGCCCTTCCCGGCTCGTGTTCTACAGCACTGTCGGATGTCTCCTTAGTATCTAAAGGGGCTGTTACGCAGGCTTTCTCTAAGATGGGTAAAGTGGAAAGAACATTGTTTGGACAGTCAGCAGAGTGACAGGTGCTGCATAATTAGCCGTGGGATTCCTGAGCCGCCTCCTTTAATGCTTCTCAGGAGCACTGCTGATACAAAGTCTGTAGTTCTGTGATTTAAAAAAAAAAAAAAAATTCAGGAGTGCCTGGGTGGCTCAGTCAGTTGCGCAGCTGCCTTCGGCTTGGGTCATGATCCTGGGGTGCTGGGATCGAGCCCCGCATCGGGCTCCCTGCTCAGTGGGGAGCCTGCTTCTCCCTCTCCCTCTGCCTGCTGCTTCCCCTGCTTGTGTTCTCTCTCAAATAAAAATCTTTAAAAATAAATAAATAAATAAATAAATAAATAAAATAAAAATAAAAAATTCAAATACCTGGGGCACCTGGGTGGCTCAGTTGGTTAAGGTCTGCCTTCGGCTCAGGTCATGATCTCAGGGTCCTGGGATCGAGTCCCGCATCGAGCTCCCTGCTTGGCGGGGAGCCTGCTTCTCCCTCTCCCTCTGCCCTGCTTGTGCTCTCTTTCTCTCTCTATCTCAAATAAATAAATAAATAAAATCTTTTTTAAAAATGTGAATACCTATAAAATGAATACTCGGACTGTTACAAAATAATTATTTTGTAATTTATATTAGCATTTCTCATTCTGATTAAAAACAAGACACATCATGAATTTAATAGCTTTTTGGGGAAAAGAAGATTAAATACTACTGCATTCAATGTACATATTTATTATAAGAAAAATTCTGATATCCTAAAAATTCAAATGTAAAAAATATGCATCTTAAAATTGAGATTGTGTGTGTGTGTGATAACACCTCTACTTGTCAATACATGGTAGGGTTTTAAACAAAATTTTTTTTTTTTAAAGATTTTATTTATTTCTTTGATTGAGAGAGACATAGCGAGAGCAGAAACACAAGCCGGGGAGTGGGAGAGGGAGAAGCAGGCTTCCCGCAGAGCAGGGAGCCCTATGTAGGACTCGATCCCAGGACCCTGGGATCATGACCTGAGCCGAAGGCAGACGCTTAACGACTGAGCCACCCAGGCGCCCCTAAACAAATTTTTAAAGTAAATTTCTAGAATTAAAATTGACAGTTGAGCAGTGTAAGTGGACTGTAAAGTATTACAAGAAAATAGAAAATGTTACTGAGATACAAAGATTCAAGATGACCGTGGAAATTAAAGACTTTATGGCAAATCTTAGTGCTCATCTGACTCCTGAAGAAGGACGTTGTGATAGGAAATCTGCAAACATGCCGTCTCTGGTAAACATTATCAAAATGCACACTTGGAACATTTGAACCCATTAACATTTTTGTAAACACAGAATTATGTGTGTGTTGTATGAAAACATGCAAGAGTGCTTTATGATTGAAGCTCTCTTTGGTTACAAGCTGCAGAAACCTATATAAGCAGACTTGAAAAAGAATACACATTGTGAGGATACACCAGGAAATGGCCACGGACATCAACAGACAGGTGCTCAAGTGCCACTGGGCCTCAGAGGATGTAGAGAGATTCAACAGGACTCAAGACTTCTGCCTCAAGATCTAGAGAGTCACTGCTTTTGCCCTCTATCAGTTTTGCACGTGGCAGCTAGCCCCAGCACTATACCAGGACCTCCACTCAACCTCCCATACTGGTTCCCTCTGTGTTCCTCTCCATCCAATTAGTGATTACCTGTGTGCAGAGAATAGCCTCGCAACTTTTTTTTTTTTTTGCTACCTAGGGTCAGTGCGCAGGATAGTTCAAGCTAAATTATGATGGTGTACAAGCAGGCAGATGGACTAAGTGCCCAGTCTAACTGCTGCTTATCCCAAAGCCTTCAGCTTTGACAGTTTTGCTGCACTTTATCTATCTATAACCCCTGTTAACGATGGCACTGAACACCTCCTGCAATATTTGGGGAATGAGATGGAAGGAAGGAGTTATAAGAATCTGTGGAATGCTAAGGTGTAACCAATCCAGAGCATTTATGAATTTCTGTTAGAGTTATATAAAATTCTTTTTAATGAATTTTGGTCTTTAAGGGAAAGGTTGATGTGGACATTAAAACATCTGCCCAGTAATTGAGTTATACTTTGTTGGTGTCTGCTATGTCGAGGGAGCACTTTCATACCTATATTTTGTGTCTTCTTAGTAGCCCATGAGGTAGGAATGGCAGGAGGAATCCTCAAGGTCAATTTTTAAAAAAATGTTATTCATTTATTTGACAGAGAGAGACACACAGCGAGAGAGGAAACACAAGCAGGGGGAGCAGGAGAGGGAGAAACAGGCTCCCCGCTGAGCAGGGAACCCAATGTGGGGCTCGACCCCAGAACTTTGGGATCATGACCTGAGCAGATGGTTATCGACTGAGCTACCCAGGCGCCCCCTCAAGGTCAATTGTTAGATCCTAGTTGGCGGGGAGGGCATGAGGAGGGTTGAGAAGGAAGAGAAAGCTTCTTGAATTTGACAACTATTGTTATAACAGTTATTAAAATAATTTCCAAGCCTCTCTGGTTAAGTGCTGGATTTAATTTTTTTTTTAAAGTTCTTGGTTGAATCTAATCTCTTGGAGCCTCTGTTTTCTTTAGCTAGTAATCATCTTTAAGGGAAAAATAATACCCAGCCTCACAGGATTATAGTAAGTATTAAATAAGAGCTCAAAGTGCCTAGGACAGTGGTTGGAATGTAGTTCTTTTTTCTTCATCTGTTTGTTCATCTGTTTATTTGTAGGTTCTTTACAAGATAGTTACTATTCTTCTTTCTTCCTGACATAGGTGTTCAGGAACAATTTTTCTGACGCTTGCCACCCAATCGCATAGTAATGTCTGAGTCCCTTGAATCCAAGAGTGCCTTCTAGGCCAGGCCAGCCCTTAGGTCTAGCTGATGATGGCATCAGTCCCATTAACAGTGACAGCACAAAGCTGCAGCCACCGTGGTTATCCGACTAACTTTTTGAACACGACTCAAAAGAGCTTGTATGTGTGTTTCCCTCACAGGTGGATTTGCTATCGTGTTTCTGGTGAGGACAAGCAATGGAATGAAATGTGCCTTGAAACGCATGTTTGTCAACAATGAGCATGATCTCCAGGTGTGCAAGAGAGAAATCCAGATAATGGTAAGGCTGCCCCTCAGACTTGGGATTGCTTGTTTGAAATGTTCCCTCTCATAAGAAAGGTTTTGGGGGGTTTGGGGAGGCTTATTCCTTCCCTGATATGGCAAAGGAGCCTCATCACAAGAAGAAAATGAAGAGGGATGGGGTAGAGCATGCTTCTCCTGTCTTGGTCACCCTTAGCTGGAGGGTTGAGGAGAAAGGAGCATATTGACAGAACTGACCAACTTTTAAGGTCAGAGAAGTGTTTGTGCATCGGGAAAAGTTTATTTCATAACTTCATTCCCAGAACTAACTATGGAGTTTAATCCAGAAACCCTGGCTCTCCAATGAGCCTCCTCTTCTAGCCTTGTCTACTACCAATCCTGGTTTTCATCCCTCTTGAGCTTCTCAGCATTCCGCGAATACACCTTTATATGTTATACATGTAGTTCTTTCCTCCAGAAATGGTTTTTCCCCCCCTTTTTTTTTTGGACTAGAAACCTCTTACTCATACATACTCTATGATTCCACTTATAAAAGTCCAAGAACAGGCAAAAGTGATCTATGGTAACAGATCAGAAAGTGGTCATCTGAGTGTGGGAAATTGACTAGAAGGAGGCATGTGGGAACTTTCTGGGCCATAGAAACGTTCTATATCTTGTTTTGGGTAGTGCTTATACAGGACTATACAAGTGTTAGAACTCAACTGAACACCTTAAGATCTGTGCATTTTATTATATGTTAATTATACCTCACATCTTAAAAACTTTGTTTTCACAATTCAGATTCATACTGTGTTTAAAGAAAGAGTCCCTATCTGTTAGAAATATGTGCTGAAATATTTATGGATGAAATAACATGATGTCTTAAAGTTAATGAGTGGATTTAGAAGAGAAACAAAATTGGCAAAGGGTTACGATCAAAGCAGAGTGGTGGGTATATGGGAGTTTGTTAGTCTCTTACTTTCACTTCTGTTTGATATTATACATTAAAAAACTTAGTCTTTTTTTTTTTTTTTAAGAGAGAGAGCAATCAAGTGTGAGTGGGGGGTAGGGAGAGAGGAAGAGGGAGAGAGAGAAAATCTTAAACAGGCTCCACACCCAGTGTGGAGCCCAATGCAGGGCTCGATGTCATGACCCTGAGATCATGATCTGAGCCGAAATCAAGAGTCAGAGGCTTAACGGACTGAGCCACCCAGGCACCCCCTTAAATAGTCTTATTCCTTTGTGTTTCTACAATACTTTTGTTTACACCAATTATATTGCTTATCTTGTTATCTTATAAGTAATTTTGCCATCAGACGGTAAATTTTTTAAAATCGGGAACTTTATATTCCAGCAGACTGCTTAACATGAAGTAAATACAGTTGATCCTTGAACAACACAGAGGTTGGGGTGTTAACTCCTGAACAGTTGAAAATCCTCATATTACTTTCTTTTTTTTTTTTTTTTAATATTTTATTTATTTATTTGACAGAGAGAGACACAGCGAGAGGGGGAACACAAGCAGGGGGAGTGGGAGAGGGAGAAGCAGGCTTCCCACAGAGCAGGGAGCCCGATGCGGGGCTCGATCCCAGGACTCTGGGATCATGACCTGAGCCGAAGGCAGACGCTTAACGACTGAGCCACCCAGGCGCCCCGTAAATCCTCATATTACTTTCAATGCTCCCAAAACTTAACTACTAGTAGCCTGCTATTGACTGCAAGTCTTACTGATAACATAAACAGTCAACACATATTTTGTATGTTATATGCATTATATACCGTATTCTTGAAATAAAGGAAGCTAGAGGAAAGAAAATATTAAGAAAATCATGAGGAGGGATGCCTGGGTGGCTTAGTGGGTTAAGCGTCTAACTCTTAGTCTCAGCTCAGGTCTTGATCTCAGGGCTGTGAGTTCAAGCCCTGTGTGGAGCCTACTTAAAAAAAAAAAAAAAAAGAAAGAAAAAAAACCATAAGGAAAAAACATTTACAGTACTGTACTGTATTTAAGGAAAAAAGTATGCTCTGGATTCATGCAGTTCAAACTCATGTTGTTCAAGTGTCAACTATACTTTATAGACTTAGGATGAAGTGAATGTATGAATAATGGTAATATCTGATGCAAATATTCACCTAGCGGTAATGATTCCTTTATGCCCTGGATTTTCATGCTTTTGTAAAGAACAAAAAGAGGCCCCCAAAATGGGTGAAGGTGGCATTATAGGGATTCCACGAGGCTTTGCTTGCCCTGTCCACCCCTAAGTTGTCCTTGCAGGGGCTACTTAGAGTAACTAGCTGTTCTGTAGTTGGGTTAACTGAAAAAGACCTCAGGATTTTAGAGAGCCTGGTACTATAGATTTCAAAAAGCTGAGAAACCATTTGAAAAGGAATCATTTGCTGGGAGAAATAAGTGTTGCTGTCATCATTGCAAAACAGACAAAAAACCCCAAGGCTCAAATACCCAGGGCCACCTGGATCTGTCCACAAGGCACCAGTGTGTGCCCACTCCTCCGCCACAGGGCTCCGGACAACCAGCCTCACTGCATCTCCCACCCGCAGCCACTGGATTTTCTGGCCGCTTCTCTTTGCCCCCTCCTCCCCTTGTCCCTGCCTTGCTGAGCTCTCACACTCCGTTTCCTGTCTTTGCTTCTGCTGTTTCCTCTGCCTGGAATGCCCTTCGCATTAATTTTCTGGCGTTATGAAAGTAATCCCATTCTTTAACTTTCTCCCACTCATTGAGAAACATTGTTTGAGGGCTGGCTCTGTGCTAGGCGGGTGTGGAACTAGGAAGACACAGGCCCCTTACGAGCTCACAAATTAACACACCTGATTGGGAACTCAGTTACATGAGTTCAAGTTCTGGCCCAGCTATGTATTAGCTGTGAAAGATTGTGTTCTGTTTTGAGTTTATATTTTTTCAGAACTTAAATACTCATATAAGCGAACGAAGCTTGTTCCCAAAAACTTCAAGCAAGTCCCTGAGGGGCCCTCCTCTGTCACTGCAAGGTCCCAGAGACAACCACTTTTTGTTGATTCATTTGCTGTGTTTCAAAATATCATACTGATATTGCTAGTTCTTGATTTTTTTTCTCCATTTTAGGCATTATATAGTATGGAAAGTAAAAATTTAGCTCTCTTTCATCCCCTGCACGCCCTTCTCCCCAAATACCTGCAATCATGCTCATTTCCCATTCTGCTGCAACAGCAGAAGTTTCTGGCAGTATGTTAGTTACAGTAGTATTAGTTTTTACATGTATGAAAACACTGTTCTTGCAGAATCTTCTGGTGGACTAGGATTACTATTCCTTTTCTGTATAACTCTGTTTTCACTGGAATTAATAATCTTTTTCCATTTTTTGGTCTGTCTTTTCTGTGTACTTTTCAGCAGTTTAACCCCAAACTCTCCCTAGGCTGTAGAAATCATTTTTTCAAAATACTTTTAAATGCATTTATATGTTCTGTTCATTTTATCTTGAAGAGATCTCAATCTCCTAACTCAGTGAAATCTGGTTTGGCTGCTCTCTAGGTCTAGTTTACAGCCTTATCTTGGAATTTCTTAGTCATTCCCTTTGCCTCGCTTTTTTGTTAGATTTCCTGACTCGTTTTTTGTTTTACTTCCTCATTTTGGTCGAGCTTATCCTGTGGTAGCTTCCTTATGTATGGTAGGTAAATTTTTGAGACCTTGCAGGGCTGGAAGTGTCTTTATTTTATGTTCACACATGTGAAACCTTGTGTATAAAATTCTGGCTCAGAAATAATTTCATTCAGATATTTGAAAGCATTGCTATACCGTATTTTAGCTTTCATTGTTGTGGATAGGAAGTCAGAAGTCATTCTAATATCAGCCCTTTGGGTGTGACCCATTATTTTCTCCCTAGAAATTTATCAGTTTCCCCTTTGTTTACAGTGTTCTGAAATATCTTGATGATACACCTTGCTATGTGCATTTATTATTTATTAATAAATGGTGTTCCCATGTAATCTAGAGACTCCTGTCCTTGCATTATGAGGAATTTTAGCTTGTCTCATTTAGTGATTTCCTTTTCTGTCTTCCTTTTGTGTGAAATTGCTGTTATTTTGGATGTTGGTCCTCCTGAATTGATTTTCTAATTTTTTGTGTTTTCTCCCCTTGATTTTTCATATCTTTGGGTGTTTTTCCCCCTCTACATTCCAGCAGATTTCCTCAGCTTTACATTCCAGCCACCCTGTTGAATTTTTTATTTGTCAAGCTTTTTAATTTCTAAGACCTTTCTGTTTGTTTTTGTTTTGTTTTGTTTTTAACTTTGATGAAGTCCAGTTTATCTGTTTTTTTTTTTGGTTTGGTTTGGTTTTGTGTTTTTTGTGGAACATGTTTTTGGTGTCATTTCTAAGAACTTTGCCTACCCCTTGATTCTGAAGATTTTGTCTTCTTTTTTCCTAAAAGTTTTATAGTTTTATGTTTTACATTTAAGTCTGTGATCCATTTTGAGTTAATTTTTATGTAAGGTGTGAAACTTATATTGAGGTTCATTTTTTGCCTATGGGTATCCATTTGCTCCAGCACCCTTTGTTGAAAAAGCTATCTTTCCTCTGTTGAATATGTTTGTCAGAAATCAGTAGGGCATATTTGTGAGGGTCCATCGCCAGACCCTCCTCTGTTCTGTTCCCATTAATCTATATGACTTTCCCTCTACCAAATACCGTACAACCTTGATTACTGTAGCTTTATAATAAGTCTGGAAATCAGACTGACTCCTCCTACTTTTTTTTCCCTAAAATTGTTTTACTTATTCCCATTTTTTTTGTCTTTTCACATAAATTTTAGAATAATTTTTGTCTACAGAATGTCTTGCAAGTATCTTGATAGGAGTTCCATTAAACTTGTATATTTATTTGGGGAGAATTGACATCTTTTCTGTTTAGTTTTCCAATAAATGAACATGGTGCATCTCTCCATTTATTTGTATCTTTGACTTTTTTCATTGACATTAGGTAGACTTTGTACATGTTCTTAGATTTAGACATAGGTTTTTGGTTTTGTTTTGAATGGTTATAAATGGTACT